ATTTTGTTCCATTGGTCTATATTCTGTTTTTTTGTGCCAGTACCATACTCTCTTGATGACTGTGACTTTGTAGTATAGTCTGAAGTTGAGGAGATTGATTCCACCAGTTCCATTTTTCTTTCCCAAGATTCCTTTGGCTACTCAGGGTCTTTTGTGTTTCCATACAAATTGTGAAATTTTTTGGCTTAGTTCTTTTGAAAAATACCCAGAAATAAACCTACCTAAAGGGATTAAAGACCTGTATGCAGAAAATTATTAGACACTGATGAAAGAAATCAAAGATGACACAAACAGATGGAGAGATATACCATGTTCTTGGAAGAATCAGTATTGTGAAAATGACTGTACTACCTAAAGAAATCACAGAAGGTGTTATTTCAGTGGAGCCCTGGAGGATGTGAGAAACAGCCTATTATGTGGATGCAAGAGGTGGGGAACAGGGTGCTGGTGGTCTCAGGGATGGAGAAAGTGCTGCATACTTCGGAGACAGGACACGCGGTACATGGGATGAGAGAGAGGAAGGAATCAAGGCCGAATGCCAGGTTTCTTGGCTTTAGCAGCTGGGTCAGTGGCGGTGATGGGCACAGCCCTGGGCAGCTGGACAGGGGGACTACATGACTCTCTGTGGTCTGCAGTCTAGTCCCCTTGGAGATGGTGTTACGCACCTGGTTCTTGGACTCTAATCAATAGAAATTGATAAGAAGCCAGACAAGAAACTCAGGCAAGGCTCAATGGGGACTCATGCTGTAGCACGAGGGAGCAAAAACAAGAAACAGGTGCCCTTGCTCGCTCTCCTAGAGAGAAGTGAACTGGTCCCCTAAATGTGGTGAGGGTGGAAGCAGATTGGTGAGCTGGGCCGAAGGGGAGGCCTGCGTGGCCGGCCCGCCCCCTTGGTGGTGCTGTGTGCAGGGATCATGTGCCGTTACCTGCTTTTGCTCCAGGCTCCTCAGAAGTGGCGCTTGGTTTGTGGCCTTTTTGTATCTTATTGTTCACAATGTGTCTCAACTGCCCTTGCGTGTGGTTATTTTTGGTACTTTATAGTTTCCTTGTATTCTGTTGCTGGGGGAGGCATTTGTCCAGGTCCAAGTGCAGGCGCTCAAGTAGAGGGTCCCAGATCCAGCCTGTCTCAGTTGTACTCAGTCTCTCCTCCTGGTCCACTAGGGGCCTCTGAGGCCCTTTTTTTTGTGCGCCTGCCCTTCTATTGAATTGCTCAACTTTAAAAAGATTGAGAAAAGGAACCAGTCCAGTAGGAGCATTACAAGCCGGATGGATTTGTGAAATGAGACTGGCACCCAAATGTAAGAGAACATTGTTCATCAAGACTGCCATTAATTGTTACATCTGGAGAAAACAAAATCAGAAATGTTTACTGAGACGTTTAAGAATCGAAACTTCAGGATGTTCTGTATATGACATCTTTTTTTCATTATCACAGAGAAGTGAGTTGAAGGTGCCATAAAACTGGCTGAAAAGTAATTTTCCTAATAGTGTGAATATTAATGACGGTTATCTGGTCTTTGTCCAAAGTATTTGCAGGCAGGGATTCATGATACTTGTCTAAAACCTCAATTCCTAAAGCATTTCTTGTGAAAATAGGAACATTCCTGTGCCCAGATTCTCAACAATAAAAGACACCAGGAGCGTTTTCAAAACTGTTGGCCTGATTTAAATTTCACTGGAAAACAGCTTTTTAAAACCAAGTTGTCTGTATGTGGTCTCCGTGTGATCACTCCCCACTGGCAGCTGGTAACTGCCAGCTTCTGGTGGCTTGAGAAAGTGAGCTGTTTCCCACGCTCCCACACGGCAACCCAATCAGGATGTTTGTGCTGGGAGATGTTTGGATGGGGTTGGGGCAAAAAGGGCGAGAGACCAGCTGGACGAGTCTCCTTCCCCAACTCCCGTCTCTACAGCCTGTCCATGCATTCCAGAAAATCATTGCTGGTGCCAGGTAGTGATGGAAATTATGTCACCTGAATACTTAACAGCCCATGAACTTTGGTAAAATGGGAGGGTTTTGCTAAGTCTACAGTAACTCCCAAACCTGTTGCTCTTCTTCCTTCCCGGGCCCAGATTGGCTCCATCAACGCTGAACCTTTTACCTGGTTCTTGGCAGGTTGTAGGGTTTCTTGTCTGCCCCTGCCCCCTCCTCTAGGAATGAGGTCTGAAGTGACTGAATGATGAGGCCACGGACAGAGGCGGGAGGGAAGTAAGTCAGCTGGAAAACTCACAGGACTTCTAATCAACTGAACAACTGCAACTCCCTTCAATGCATTCCTGTTCTTCCAGTCTGTAGCTTCTTGAAGTGCAAACTAGGGTGCCACATGCAAAGTCGCTCCCATTGAATTCAGGATTTTTTAAAAAATTCATGGACTCCAGAAGTAAAAAGACCACTTGTGTGGTGTTCTTTGCCCCCCAGTGGACTGTGCGTTAAGAAGGATATGTGTGTGTTAATCACTCAGTCATGTCTGACTCATTGTGATCCCATGAACTGTAGCCTACCAGATTCCTCTGTCCTTGGAATTCTCCAGGCCAGAATACTGGAGTGGGTTGCCATTTTCTTCTCCAGGGGATCTTCCCAACCCAGGGATCAAACCTGGATCTCCTACATTGCAGGCAGATTCTTTACCACTGAGTCACCAGGGAAGCCCTGGAAGGATATGGGAGAGGCTCAAAGCCTCATCCTAAGCCGGGTTTTGCAAGGAGGCCCAAGCATGCCCACCACCAGGGGGCTATGGTCCCTTCCCCATTTTCCCAGGGAATGTGGATTTTAGTTGGGTAAGAACACAGCAGTATTTTCATAGACTTTAGACTCGTTTCAAGAAGTGTTAACTGGACTTCCCCGGTGGTCCAGTGGTTAAGAATTTGCCTGCCAACGCAGGAGACATGGGTTTGATCCCTGGTCCTGGAGGATGCCACATGCCACGGGGAAACTGAGCCCATATGCCACAACTACTGAGCCTGCACTCTAGAGCCCCATGCTCTGCAACGAGAAAAGCCACCACAGTGAGAAACCCAAGCACTACAACTAGAAAGTAGCCTCGCTTGCTACAACTAGAGAAAGCCCTCATGCAGCAATGAAGATCCAGTGCAGATTAAAAAAAAAAAACAACATGATAATTGATTTCAAGAAGTGGTAACTGATAACTGGTTTCAAGAAGGCTGAATTAAGTGACTAAGTGAACATAGTGAACTAAGTGAATTAAGTGAACATAGTGATTAAGAAGGGTCGACTTGGAGTTGGTCTCCCTGGGTTCAAATCCTGGTGCTGCCACTTATTGGTAACTTTGGACAAATTGATTCACTTATTAATACCTTATTTTCCACCTCAGAAAAATGTGGATAATAGTAACAGCTATTCTTGGGTCTGTCCTCCATGATAAATAGTGAAAGTTCTGTTTGACAACTTCATTGGCAAAAGACAGGGTTAATCTATGTTTGATTCATTATCATAGTAATTTTTCTTATTTTAAAAGAAATTCAATTGCAAACATCTTTGGGAGCCGAGATACTGTGCCTGCTATCTGCTTGGCGGGGCTGTTAAAAACACTCTCAGCTGAGAGTAGCACCTTATTGCTTTTCTTGGCACCTTTTGATACCTGGTGAGGTTGAAATGGAACATGTTCCTCTTATTGGTCTTTCTTCTTGAAAACTGTTTGAAATACCCTTTGGCCTGCTTCCCATTGGAATCTTGATATTCTTTTATTTACATATAAACTTTGTTTTCTGATCATGCACATAATACATTTATCTTGAAAATTTTGGGGAAAAAGCAAATTTATTAGAATAAAAATGACCCTCAGAATTAAAAAAAATGGTAATAGCTATTCCTATGGGGTTCTTTTGAGGATTAGACATTAATAAGAGGTCTGGAACTTGGTAAGCATCCAGTAATGTTAGCTATTGATGTAGGTCATTAATCTGCTCAAAATAACAACACCCTCGTGGCCCATTCACATTTACTTCTTGACTCTCATTTGCTTATTGTCTCATCATCTGTTTGTGTTAATCCTCCACATCCTTCTGGATGGGGGCGCCTTGAAAGCAGAGTCTGGGCTGTGCCCATTTGTGGACCCACAGCTCTAGCACAGCCCTGGTTGGTCATGATTGCTTCATCTGTTGAGTAAATTAAGGCAGGCTTTGATGATGACTTATGTTTGAATGGTGCTTTTTGTGCCGCGAAGCACACACATGGGAAGCCTCAGACTCGAAGTTTAGGACCCTTGCCGAAGTCATATGACAGAGCCAGGTCCTGTGATTCTTTTATTTATGTATTTATTTAGTTGGGTCAGGTCTTAGTTGCAGCTCCTGGGCTCTCTAGCTGCTGTGTTAGGCCTTAGTTGCTCCGAGGCATGTGGGATCTTAGTTCCCCCAGCTGAATCAAACCTGTGTCGCCTGCATTGCGAGGCAGATTCTTAGCCACTGGATTACCATGGAAGGCCCAAGGTCTGTGATTCTTGCCCTTGCTCCTTCCAGTAGGCTGTCCTCTCTAGGAAGAGAATGCCAACTTCTGTAAGTCCAGATCATGTCTTTTGCCAGTTCTATTATATCTGAATCTCACATAAGTGAAATTTTATAGCATGTACTACAGTTGTGTCTGGATTCTTTTGCTCAGCTTAATACTTGTGAGATTCACTCATGTTGTTTTGTGTATTTTAAAAAATCACTGTATAGTATTCCACTATATGCTAAGACCAAAATTTATTTACCTGTTCTCTTGTTGATGGGTATCTGGGTGGTTCCCAATATTTGGTTGGGCTTCCCTGGTGGCTCAGTGGTAAAGAATCCCTCTGCCAGTGCAGGAGATGCAGGAGATGTGGGTTTGATCCCTGGGTCAGGAAATGGCAACCCACTCCAGTATTCTTGCCTGGAGAATCCCATGGACAGAGGAGCCTGGTGGGCTATAGTCCCATAGGGTCATAAAGAATTGGACATGACTGAGCGTGCACAAAATTTGGTTCTAAGTCTCTGCACTCCTTTTAATGATGCTTGGTTTTTTACAGGTCACCACAAATGGCATCATTGCCATGAGTGAACCCCCAGCCAAAGAAACCCACCCTGGGCCCTTCCCACCAACCTTTGGAGCAGTCGCCCCTTTCCTGGCAGACTTGGACACAACAGATGGCCTGGGGAAGGTCTACTATCGGGAAGACTTGTCTCCCTCTGTCACTCAGCTGGCTGCAGAGTGTGTCCAGAGAGGGTTCCCAGAAGTCTCTTTCAAGCCCAGTAGTGCGCTGGTTGTCACTTGGGAATCCGTTGCTCCCTACCAAGGGCCTAGCAAGGACCCCGCCCTGGAAGGCAAGGTAAGCACCCGTCCAGGCACAGGGGCGAATAGTCTAATACGTTGGCTTTGCACACTTTGGTCTTCTGGTTTGTGCTACCCTGATGTACACCACGTCCATGCGATTGATAAAGATAGGACATCCAAAGCAAAATCTAATAAGCTATTTATTGCAGGTCTGAAATGTCCAAAATCTTATCCACAGGGCTACCTAAATCTGTGTTGTAATGATGATCCAATGTAAAGAAAGCCAAGATCCCTGAGATAACTAGCCACATGGCAAGAACAGAGTTGATAAATTACAGCCCTAGCTGCTCTTACTTTGGGTGGTAGATGATGGGAGGTGGTTTCTAGACAGAGAATTTATTACGAGTTTATGAATATGCAGTGATAAAATAATAAAGCAGTCCCAAGGGATGTGAAGAACTAAAGACAAGACCCAAGTTCTAGTTGGGGGGGACAAACCCCCCGCCATCTGTTTGTACCATGTGAATGGTTCAGGACACAGGTTTCTTTATAACCAGGGCTGCAGTTTCTGTAGATTCAGTGGTTGGGAAATATGTTAGGCTGTGCAGAGCTTGGACCTGCACTTAGATGGGGAATATTTGAGCAGGTCAAGAAGCCCATCTCTAGATCTGAAGTGAGCCTTTAGGACATGCTTCAGTTTCTCCTTGGAAAAATAAATTCACTCCACCATTATTTAACTTTTATAGCATGACAGGGTAGAGTACAACTTGAAAGGTCCCAAAGCATCTTTAAATGGAGGAAATGTTCCAGGCTGGTGGTTCCCAAAGTGTGTACCACAGAATACTGGTCCTAAAGACAGTCCTTGAGGAAAAAGACTCCTTGGGTCATGCTAAGACTCCTTGGGAAATGCTAAAACTATAGGTCCCTCTTGGTGTCTCAGTCTGGAAAGCCCTACAGTACGGAAACCTGCTTACCTTGATTTAATTTAGTCAGCCCTAAACCTCTTGGCTGTACCGTTTTCCCTCCCAAATAAGACATTGCATCCCATAGAGCACACTTTGGAGAAATCTGACACGTTTTGCTTTGCCACCTGTATCCGCCTGAGTGGCATGCTTGAAAACAGTTTAAAATCTTCAGTTTCTTGGGACTTCCCTGATGGTCCAGTGGTTGAGACTCCATGCATCCATGACAGGGGCATGGATTCCTTCCCTGGTGGGGGCACTAAGATCCCACATGCCACATGGCATGGCAAAAAATAAATCACTAAAATAAAACCTTTAATTTCCCGAGTGTGCATCCTCTTTACTTGAGTAAAAACTGCCCGACCCATTGTACAGAGCTCTTGCCTGCCTCAAGGGTCCAGTCTCCTCTCATCCTGACTTCTCCAGTCCCCCCTGTAGCAGCTGGACCAGATTATTTGCAATTCCCTGATGAGGCTTTTTGCTTGTTTGTTTTAGCCGCAGTCTCATGCACTAGTTGTGCTCTGCTTGTGATGGCCTCTCCCTGACCCTCACTGCTCGTGTTGAGCGCCTGCCTGTTCACTCAGCCTCCTCTGCTCCCGCCCCTTCCAGCCCTGGGCACTCTGCCTGCACGCAGCTCGGTTACAGAATCCATGCTTTAGTTTGGGAATGTTTTGTTCAGATGTCAGTCTTCCCACCTAAACTGTTAAATTCTCCAGTGCCAGGATCATGTATTTTTATCCTTCATCTTCACAGTGCTTGGGGCCATGTCTTGCACCCAGGAAAGGTATTAACATGAAGGAATACGTTCTCTGCCCGATTCTCATATGCTGGCTCACATGGTCCTCCTAACATTTCTGTGGAGTAGGTGATTTTCTCTCCATTTTACAGATTCAGAAATCAAGGTTCAGCGAGGTTAGGTAACATGCCCAAGGTCACCTAGCCAATGATGAGGGCAAGGAGTTGGATTCAGATCTGTTTTCTCCCAAAGCTCATGCTCTTTCTTACTGAACAGTGCTTGGGCTCAATAAACTAAATAATAAATGTGGTTGAATATGTTTAATGGCTGTGTAAACAATTTCTGGGGATAAGAATTTGCAAATTTGCTTGAGAGATAGAGGTAGCATATCTATAATTTTTGGTTAACCCTAGGGTCGCAGGTATGCAGAAGGTATTCATTGGCTAATTAGAAAATTTCATGTTGACATAGCCTTAGAGATATTTAAGTGGAATTATCCTGGAATACTGTCCTTGCTACAAAAATATTTCTTTAGAACAAGGTGCAAATAGTGCCATCTCTGTATTTTTTATATGTAGTCTGGTGAATAGCACAGTTTAAGATCCTGAGTAACTGAATCTTAACTCATCTTTACAGAGAAACACATTCCAGTCCATTCTGGCCTCCTCTGATTCCAGCACCTATGCCATTTTCCTTTATCCTGAGGATGGTCTGCAGTTCTACACGACGTTCTCAAAGAAGGAGGAGAACCAGGTTCCTGCGGTGGTTGCTTTCAGCCAAGGTTTAGTAGGATTAATATGGAAGAGTGACGGAGCTTATAATATATTTGCTAATGACAGAGAATCAATTGGAAATCTGGCCAAGTATGCTTTTTTATTCTTCAGTAGATTCTTCCTTTAATAAGATTCTCAACTGACTGTTTTATAAGAATAATGTAATGGGCTTTATAGAATATCACCTAAAAATGTGGATTTAAATTCTGTAGGGGACTTTGCTGGAAGTTCAGTGGTTAGAACTCTGCATTCTCACTGCCAACAGCCCAGGTTCAATCCCTGGTTGGGGAATTAAAATCCTTTAAGCCGTGCAGTGTGACCAAAAACAAACAAAAAGTTTAAATTTTGTATATAGTTTTTATATTATGTAGTACTTTTTTCCTGATGAATTCAGGGAATATACTCTTAGAATGAAAGGCATCCAAGTTTTTAGATATCATTTTCATTTGAAACTGTTTTATCATGTCTTCTATAAAGTTAGAAATGCAAATTATTCAAAACTATCTCTTGCTATGAATCCATGGCTGAGAGGGTTTTTCCCTACACTGACTGGGGGTGAGAATGTTGTTATAATAGAAACAGTGCTCTCTTGGCCTATTTTGTAGAATTTGGCAAAAGGGGGGAAAGCTCAGACTTTTTTTTCTAATAATTAAACTTAATTATTCTTTAAAAAAGGAAGCACCTCCTCCTCCCAATTTCATTTTGTCAGTGGAGTCTGAAACTCCTCTACCCTTTGATAGTGTACTGGTAAATATTTAACAACTGACTTTATGCAGGTTGGGGAAGCCCTCACTCATTTATAGCATTTGCCTATTTCCGTGGTATAAATATGTCTAGGATGGCTGGTTTTCAGCTGTTACATCATGTAAGTCACCCAGAGGTTGAGAAAAGGTGAACCATTATATAGTATTCTCACCCTAGAGGTGCAGTAGATTCAGATAACTTCAAGAACATAGCTAATAGGAACATAATTCATATGGGATGACTTTTCAATATGGTTTGTTTAATTGTAAGTTTATATAATTTGATTTTTTATAAACTGGTTCAAGCACGCTCCTGTACATCACTGCCTTTACTCAAGTCCCAGGTAGACAGACTGGTTAGACATCCAATTTCTGCAAGACTTCCTTGATTTCTCATTCCCTGTCCCAGTCCAGTCTTTTGCTCAATGTTCTCCATTGAATAATGTATGTCCCTTCTTTCTATCGTATAATCTGGTCACTTTGTACAATTTCTGATAGTAAAACAGTATCAGAACAGTGAAAATGGTAGTGTAAGAAGTAGAGATTAGGGTTATTGTATTGTATTTTATAACTGTAAAATGCCCTTAGATTCTGAATATCATTTGCATTTTACTATACCCTCTGAGCATAAAAAGGTTAACTGAGACCTGTCCAAGGGTCCACAGCTAACAGTGTTAGGATTTCTAATAAACCAAGTCCTGTTTTCACTCATAACTTTTGACACTAAATACATGTTTTTTTCCCCTCTTATCAACTAATTCTTCAACTCTTCAGATACCAGCTGGGTATCCTGTGACTTAATTCAGTTCTGACACTAACTGCTTAGAATCAGCACAGACCTCACAGCTTAAGGGCTCACTCCTACAAGGCTGCCCCCCTTCAGACATCCCTTGAAAGTCCCAAGTTGCTGCCTACACTTCCTATCAACCAGCTATAAATTGGGGTCTCCATGACTCCCTGCTCAGGTTTGATAATTTGCTAGAAAGGCTCACAGAATTCAGGGAAGTACTTCACTGACTATAACTAGTTTGTTATAGAGGATACAACTCAGGAACAGCCAAATAGAAGAGATACATAGGGCAAGGGGCAAGGTATGAGGGGAAGAGGAGGTGAGGGGCTTCCATGCCCTCGCTGCGCACACCACCCTCCTAGCACACCTCAACTGTGTCCACCAGTCCAAGAGCTCTGTCAACCTGATAACTTAGGAATTTTTATTGCATAGGCATGATTGATTAAATCATTGGCCATTGGTGATTAACTAATCTCCAACCCCACTTCCCCACCCCCTTCCTGGAAGTCAGGGTGTGGGGCTGAAAATTCCAACCCTATAATCATGCCTTGGTCTTCCTAGTGACCAACCGCCTTTCTGAAGCTACCCAGGGTCCCCAGCCACTAGTCATCTCATTAGCATACAAAAAGGCATTCTTATCACTCCAGAGATTACAAGGACCTTAGGGGTTATATGCCAGAACCAGAGACAAAGACCAAATACTGTCATATCACAGCATGTCCCCAGAAAGAGCATAATGGGAAAAAAATGCACACAAATCCAGTCAACAGGTTGCTCGTGCTGACGAGCAATTTGTATAAACACATTTTGAGGTCTGAAAATATCCCCGAGCATGCCTCTGGAGTGGCTGAGAAGAAGCCTTTGCTGGGGTTGGGCCCACTGGATACAGCTTCACCATATCCTGCTGGATGTTGCCAGCTCTGTGGGGACCAGACAGGACCACACCTGCTCACCTACCCTCCACCAAGGCTGTGGGCAGTAGCAGGCCATGGGGTTTGACTTGACATGGATCTCCGGGGCTCCTTCTGCTTGGTTGGTGGGGGCTGTTTGTAGGTTGCGGGCCTGTTTCCAAGAAGCCTGTCCTTCCTTCTAGGAGCAGCAACTCTGGGCAACAGGGCATCTGGGTGTTTGAGATTGGGAGTCCGGCCACGGCCAGTGGCGTGGTCCCCGCGGACGTGAACCTGGGACTGGATGATGGAGCAGAGTACGATGATGAGGAGTATGACTCAGTGACGCGTCTGGGCCTGGAGGACGTGGTTACTACATCCTTCCCTTATGAGGCCCCAAGAGGGGGAGACGGTGGCACCTACAACACGCCCAGGGACCTCGCCCCCCGCCGCATGGCTACTGAGAGACCCCTCACACCTCCCACGGAGAGGACCAGATCTTTCCAGCTGCCCGGGGAGAGGTTTCCCCAGCAGCAGCCACAAGTCATAGATGTGGATGAAGTCGAGGAAACAGGAGTTGGTAAGGCCATTTGTGTGGCAGATGGTATGTTGTTGGATGCTTGGGTTTCCACACAGGGGAGCGCTGCTGGGGGTTGTCAGCTGTGTGCGTTATTTGGAGGTTTGTAAAGGATGAGAGCCTGGAAAAGGAGGGGTGGAGCTTACGGCTACAGAGCATGAGTGAAGTGAAAAGTGAAAGTGTTAGCTGCTCAGTCGTGTCCGACTCTTTGCGACCTCATGGACTGTGGCCTGCCAGGTTCCTCTGTCCGTGGGATTCTCCAGGCAAGAATGCTGAAGTGGGTAGCCATACCCTTCTCCAGGGGATCCTCCTGACCCAGGGATTGAACCCAGGTCTCCCACGTTGAAGGCATATTCTTTACCACTGGAACCACCAGAACACGGGTGAAGGGACCCAAAGGCTGCAAAGACCGAGGGATCCAGAGTTAGGGCTGGGGTTAGGGATCCAGAGTTAGGGCTGGGGTTAGGGATCCAGAGTTAGGGCTGGGGTTAAGGATCCAGAGTTAGGGCTGGGGTTAGGGATCCAGAGTTAGGGCTGGGGTTGGGGATCCAGAGTTAGGGCTGGGGTTATGGAGACTGTAGAATGCGTCCTCTTTCAACTTTCCTATTGTTCTTCTTTTTGTGTGTGTTTTAAAGAGAAAAGTGCTTTAGAATTATTTTGAAAGTCAGATTTCCTTCCTTATTTGTGATTTCTGAGATCAGCAATATACTCACCCACCTGAAAAAACATTTTAGAAGTTCCTCTGTTGACATGGTTTATCTTTGACATTTATTTCCTCTTGGTTTATGGAAGGAGGATGGTTGATTATTTTTCCTCCAGGCTCCAGTCAGTTTCAGAGTTAGTTTGTGAACATTAAAAATACAAAATAACCGGATCCATTTTTCGAGGATGGTTTTAAAGTATAATGTCTGTTTTTTCCATAAGATGTTATGGAAAAACCCAAACAAACTTAACTTTTTGGCCAAATCAATATATCAGACCATCACTTCATGGCAAATAGTTGGGGAAACAATGGAAACAGTGACAGACTTTATTTTCTTTGGCTCCAAAATCACTTCAGATGGTGATTGCAGCCTTGAAATTAAAAGATGCTTGCTCCTTGGAAGAAAAGCTATGACCAACCTAGACAGCATACTAAAAAGCAGAGACATTACTTTGCCAACAAAGGTCCGTCTAGTCAAAGCTATGGTTTTTCCAGTAGTCATGTACGAATGTGAGAGTTGGACTATAAAGAAAGCTGAGCGCCAAAGAATTGATGCTTTTGAACTGTGGTATTGGAGAAGAGTCTTGAGAGTCCTTTGGACAGCAAGCAGATCCAACCGGTCCATCCTAAAGGAGATCAGTCCTGAATATTCATTGGAAGGACTGATGCTAAAGCTGAAGCTCCAATACTTTGGCCACCTGATGTGAAGAAGTGACTCATTTGAAAAGACCCTGATGCTGGGAAAGATTAAAGGCAGGAGGAGAAGGGGATGACAGAGGATGAGATGGTTGGCATTGCTGACTCGATGGACATGAGTTTGAGCAAGCTCTGGGAGTTGTTGATAGACCAGGAAGCCTGGCGTGTTGCAGTCCATGGGGTTGCAAAGAGTCAGACAGGACTGAGATACTGAAGTGAACTGAACTGAATGTATCATATTTTTGCTAGTTTCAGAGGAAAATGTAGCATTTTCAAGTGTACCATTTGAATTCCAGCATACTTTGAATTGTCTTATAAAAGACATTGGAACTAGACTGTGTTCTTTTTTAATTTTTGCCCTTCAGGTTGACCAGTAATATTGCTATCAAGGGGCTGGCCCAAGCCTTTAAATGATACTTAACTATGATTGTTTCTACTATGAAGTTATCATAAGGCCCTCAAAAAACCTACTCTTAAAAAAAAAAAAAGAAAGAAAAAAAAACCCTACTCTTCCCCCCCCCCCAAAAGAATTTAAGATAAACAAAGTTAGATTTCAAGGTTTCTTGAAAACCTTGAAGAAATGTAGTAGAAGCTAATAATAAATAATCACACTCAAAAAAAGAAAAATCTACCCCATTCCACGTTATTCACCCATTTTTATTTCTCCTTACTTGTTGTGGTTTGTCTCATAGCAATAGCCATAAATGTTTATTCTTATTGAGTATCCCAAAGCATGGGCAGGATCTGGTGGCCAGAGAAGTGTGCTTACTTCCTTCTGAGGCACAGAGATGGACAGGTGACGTTTAGTGACATGATGAGGACATGGGTTCATGTCTCAGGAGGGCTCCTCTTACACACATGGCACCCTGGATTTCCCAGGGTGATGCTGACATCTAGCATGTGGCACCCTGCTCTTACAGCTGGATCTCAGAGTGATCTCCCCAGGATAGGTCATGTGCATGTTTATTTGCATATGTTGAGTTTTGAGGGCTTCTCAGGTGGTGCCAGTGGTAAAGAAAGTGTTAATCGCTCAGTCGTGTCCAACTCTTTGCGACCCCATGGACTGTAGGCTGCCAGGCTCCTCTGTCCATGAAATTCTCCAGGCAAGAATACTGGAGTGGGTTGCCATGCCCTCCAGGTGATCTTCCCGACTCAGGGATTGAACCCAGGTTTCCTGCATTGCAGACAGACTCTTTACTGACAGATCCACCAGGGAAACTCCAGAGTGGTAAAGAACCCACCTGCCAATGCAGGAGATGTAAGAGAGGCAGGTTTGATCCCTGGGTCGGGAAGATCCCCTGGAAAAGGGCACGGCAACCCACTCCAGTATTCTTGTCTAGAGAATCCCATGGACAGAGCCTGGTGAGCTATAGTCAGAGTCAGCAAAAATTCAGACACAACTGAAGTGACTTAGCATGTGTGCATGCATGTTGAGTTTTGAGTCTCATCCTGCTTTCACACCACATAGGTGTCTCTGAAATTCTCATTTGTGAAGCCATCACTTTGAAATGAGAGCATAGCTAGTCCCAGCAACTCATGGTAATATATTACTTGGTACTGGTAACAACAACAAAAAGCCTAGATCTGAACCCCAACTGTGTTTAAAAGAGATCTTTCTCTGCCCTTAATCCCAGTTATTTCACTGTTTTTATTAGAAAGGTTGGTCTTCTGTAGCCAGCAGTGCATTCCTGGTGTTATTTGAATAGTCATCCACGGATACATCAGCCGTAACAGACCCACTGGGAGCTGAGCTTAAGCAATCAGTAGCATCACATGCGTTCAGCTCAGGGCCCAAGTGTCCCTGACTCCAAATGCCATGTATACATCCAGGAAATTCCCTTCTGGGTGTGTAGCACTCCTGGAATCTACCTGGGGTCAAACTTTACTTTTATTTTCCCTCATAACAATTATAAATTGGGTCATTATCCCCTCCAAAAGTTCATCCCTTCTTGTGCTTTTGAAGTCATTCCAAATTAGTGTGCTTTGGATTTTTAAGTTTAATGAGCTCGCTCATCATTCTAATAAAATCAACCTGGGAGGGAGAGCCATTTGCACTAGGGAGAAATTCATGTTTCTTGGGCCAAAGGCTGTTAGAGCAGGTATGACTGAGGAATTATTTCTACCAGCTTTTAACTCTAAGAGCTTATTTACCCCCTGGTGAGAACAATGGGGCCAAAAAGTTTAAAATACTTTAAGGTCATTAAAATGGCACATTTTGTGTTATATGTATTTTACCATGATAAAAAAATAATTTTAAAATATTTTAACATCTGCACCCAAATTTGATGCTGTTTTTATTAGAAAGGTCAGTCTGATGCATATCTGATGATGTTTGATGGATGCCATATTAAGATTGACATTGGACAGCTATCACCCAATATTGATTCATTGATACTAAGGACATTGGATTATAGCATTTAAAAAAAATTCACCCTTGCGACTTCCCTGGCAGTCCAGTGGTTAAGACTCCATGCATCCATCTCGAGGGGAGCAGGTTCAGTCCCTAGTCAGGAAACTAAAATCCCACATCCCTCATGGCACAGCCAAAAGGTAAAAATTAAAATAGTAATAATTCACCCATGTGATTTCTCAAACTCGTTTTAGACCTACATGCCTCAGTGATTTGAGTGATGGAACCGCTGTACTAGTTAAGTGGTTACAGGTAGAGAGCCCTGTGTCTGAAGGGCCTGAGCGGACGTCTCTGCAGGTAGAGAGCCCTGTGTCTGAACGGCCTGAGCGGACGTCTCCGCAGGTAGAGAGCCCTGTGTCTGAACGGCCTGAGCGGACGTCTCTGCAGGTAGAGAGCCCTGTGTCTGAAGGGCCTGAGCGGACGTCTCTGCAGGTAGAGAGCCCTGTGTCTGAATGGCCTGCGCAGTCTTGAACACTCTAGGGTGCAGGGTTCTAAAGCCTCCTCGTCCAGAGCCCGGCGAAGCGCTCACTGGTGTGCTGTGTTCTCTCCGAGCAGTGTTCAGCTACAACACGGACTCCCGGCAGACGTGCACCAACAACAGACACCAGTGCTCTGTGCACGCGCAGTGCAGGGACTTTGCCACCGGCTTCTGTTGCCACTGTGTTGCTGGCTACACGGGGAACGGCCGGCAGTGTGTTGCAGAAGGTACTGTGCCTTTCTCTGATCCTTTTTAAGGGGGAGAAAAGGGAGGAGTGGAGATTGTGTTTTGGTGCTTGTTTTGAAATCTTGCCTTTACCCAGATCTCTAAAGGTCGGTGGTGGTTTCAGCTGGGCAGTGATATTTCATCTCTCACTCCTCGTTCTTTCTCTGTTTGTCTATGGGGGTGGGGGGCGGTCCTGGGGAATGCCCTTTTTACTAATAAGGGGAGGTCTCTTTCCATCCTGTGGTGTTTCTCCATCTCTGAAATGATGGCCGTTGAGAACCCATCTTCAGGCTGAAATGTTGAAATTATGCAACCTGGACCATGAATTGTCAGCCCCCCTCGTTTTCCTCCATTTCTTTCAAACCTCTTCTTTTGGCATCACTCAGACTTATGTTGATGGTGGTTCAACTCCAGCAGGGCCATGGTGGGCTGGCCAACCCAAAATGTTGGGTTGGCCCAAAAGTTTGTTCAATAAGTACTTTATTCAGTAAAGGCCTTGGTGAAAATGAAGAATGTGTCTTTTATTTGTACTTTAAACCAAACTAACTTTCTGGCCAGTGCAATATGTAGGGGGTAAGGACTATTCCAGTCCCCCTTCTGTCTGGTATTCCTCTCCTTGTGTCCCCGGAACCCCAGCATGGTGATGGAGGAGCAGAAGGGAGCATCACAGCTAACTTTGGAGACCAGACCCATTGTGCTGTCAACTCCAAAACAGATTTGGCTGTGGGCTGGCTTTAGTCCTGAGCTCTGCACCCCCAAAAAAGGATCAACCAGTTTTGATGTTCTCAGATGTTCCGAAAAATCTCTGTAAGAGTCTAGAGGGTCCGAATAGCACTTTACTTAGAGAGGTAGACTTATAGGAACCCAAGACCATAAATTAGAATGAAAGCAAAAATAAAACAAACTGTACTGAATACCTGTCTCTGCAGATGCCAAATCACTCCACTTGTCACCCATCATTTTCCTTGTGTGTTTAAGGAGGAACATCAGTTGCTTGGCAAAATATGACTAAATAAAACTCAGTTGGAGGAATACTTTGCTGTTTTTCAGATTTCCTGCTATAGCTAAAGTTAAATCAGTTATTTTAATTTGCTTGAAAAAAAGAAAGGTTCCAAAAAAAAAAAAAGTTCCTTCTAGGTCACAATTAGTCTTGTAAATACTGACTTTAGCAAGGACAGAAAATTCTGTATGCTTTGCATGTTAATTTGGGGGGATGTTTTAAACATCTGTATGTTTAAACATCTATGTGTTATCTCTCTTCTTGCCCACTGCCCCAGGAATGACATGCTTTTGCTGCTTTGTTCTAGGCTTGGCTTTTATATTTCGCTTGCCCTGGGAAGAACTTCCACAATTTACAATGAACCCTTCTTCTCAAAGACCAATCTCATGAGCTCTTTCCATGCCAAATGTCAGAGCTGGAAATGCTGACAGGTTGCATTTGGCAGCAAGCTTGGATATGAAAGATTGCTCAGCTACATTTTTTGACATTCTAAACACACCCTGTCATAGTTTTGCGGTTTGAATATTTGTTGGAATCTTACTACTTTTGAAATATTTTTCTAGCTCCAAGTTTGATGGAAACAATTTGGTTTTCTTCCGTTGGCTTTCCTGCTTGTTTCTGTGATTGTTTGGGGGAGGCATTTTTTCGATGTTAGTCTTCTAACTCTGTAGCATTCCCCCAGTGTAATGACAGTTTATGTGCAGAAATACTCTGTGTGTCGAATCTGCCTTAGCTTGTCAGTGACCTTGTTTTGGGGGGTGTTGTTGCTTTGGGGGCCATACCGTGTGGCATGAGGGCCCAACCAGGGATTGAACCCAGGCCCCCTCAGTGGAAGTGTGGAATCTTAACTGCTGGACTGCCAGGGAGGTCCCTCAGTGACTGTTTAGCAGCTTTGCTGTACTTAGTCGCTCAGTCATGTCTGACTCTTTGCCACCCCATGGGCTGTATGTAACTCACCAGGCTCCTCCATCCATGGGGATTCACCAGGCAGGAATACTGGAGTGGGTTGCCATGTCCTCCTCCAGGGGATCTCCCCATCCCAGGGATCGAACTCAGGTCTCTCACATTGCAGGCGGATTCCTTACCGTCTGAATCGCCAGGGAAGCCCTGCTGCTGCTAAGTCACTTCAGTCGTGTCCAACCCTGTGCAGCCCCACAGACGGCAGCCCACCAGGCTCCCCCATCCCTGGGATTCTCCAGGCAAGAACACTGGAGTGGGTTGCCATTTCCTTCTCCAATGCATGAAAGTGAAAAGTGAAAGTGAAGTCGCTCAGTCGTGTCCGACTCTTAGCGACCCCATGGACTGCAGCCCACCAGGCTCCTCAGTCCATGGGATTTTCCAGGCAAGAACACTGGAGTGGGGTGCCATTGCCTTCTCCGAGGGAAGCCCTAGTGTATATTAAACACAACAGAAAGTCTTCAGAACACAGGCAGTGGTGCTCGGATGAGAGCTCGTTTGTCTAAGGTTAGTCTACAAACTTTACTGAGAACTTACCATGTACAGAAAGCTCTGCTATGATGGAACCAGGGAATTGGGTGTGAAGATCCTGTCTCTAGTCATTTACAATCTAGGAAGAGAAACATGATATGTACAATCAATAAGTGGTAGAATTTAATTCTACATCAAACCTGATGTACTTACCTCTTCCTTCAGCTTTTTTTTTTAAGATGTCAGTAACACAATCAAAGTATACCATTTGGTGGTTTTTAGTATATTCACTAAGTTATTCAACCGTTACTTCTAATTTTAGAGCATTTTCATCACACCAGAAGGAAACCTGGATCTTTTAGCTGCCATCCTCAATTCATCCTCACTCCCAGGCTCTGTCAACACCTAATCTGCTGTCTGTCCGTGTGGGTTTTCCTGTTCTGGACATTCCATATAAATGGAATCATGTATCATAGGACTTTTTTGTTTGGCTTCTTTTACTTAGCATAATGTTTTCAGGGAGTATCCATGTTTTAGGATATATCAGCACCTTATTCCTTTTTCCTAGCTAAATGATATTCTACTGTATGGATTTTCCACATTTTATTTATCTGTGCATCAGCTGATAGACATTTGAGTGCTTTCCCATTTTGGCTGTTCGTGAATAATGCTGCTAAGAACATTCATGTACAAGTTTTCAAGTGAACAAATGTTTTCTGTTTTCTTAGGTATATATATACTCAGGAGTTGGAATCGCTGGGTCATATGGCAACCTTCCATTTTCTTGTTCAAATATAAGAACAACTTAATTTCTTGAGATTTTTTTTCTTTTCCTGATTAAGCAGTAATAAATACATGCAAGTTATTAATATCCCAACATTATAGAGATATATAGTATAGAAGATGAAAGTTCACCATATCACCCTGAATTAACCTCTGTTAGCAATTTTGTATACCTCTCTTAAGACATTTTTCCTCTATGAGTATGCTAGCATTTATCATTAATGCAATTTTTAAAAATGGTGTCCTACATATACTCTTTGGTAATATATGAAGAAAGCTTTTAAATATGCCATAGTAAGTATGCCACCTTTCCCAGTTATCTACAAGAGATGATCAACAACAAACACACCCTAGCCCCCAGGCTGGTTCTGGGTCAGAGGGCGTATTTGTGTGACCTGCAGTACCCACTGTGGCTACTTCCATCTGGCTTGGGTGAGTGAGGGTCTGGGACTCAGACTGGCCAACTTACATTTGAGCCAGAGATGCTCTTAGAGAGAAGTCCCTGAGAGCCTAGGGCCTTCCCTGGTGGCCCAGTAGGTGAGAATCCACGTGCAGGGGACACGGATTTGATCCCTGGTCCAAGAAGGTTCCACATACTGTGGAGCAACTAATCCTGGGCACCACAACTACTGAAGCCCGGGCGCCTAGAGCCCGTGCTCCGAAACAAGAGAAGCCCCTGCAATGAGAATCCCGCGCATCGCAATGAAGAGAAGCTCCCCCAGCCCCTGCTTACTGCATCTTAAAGAAGCCCATGCACAGCAACAAAGACCTAGCTCAGCCAAAAATATTTCTTTTTAAAAAAAAGATATGTTAAAAATCAGACAACCTAATGTCCCACCAGTTTAGCCCCATTGTCCCAATGAAATGACTAATTCTGTCCCTGATATTCTCAAAAGTAATCAGTTAGTTGTATATCACCATAGTTGTGGATCACCCATGATGCTATTCTCCTGAATTGTTTTATTTGCCTCTGATGTTCCTTCATCATACAATGGGTCCCACTTTTCTGCTATCCATTATCCATCAGTATGGAAGAGAGAAAGAAAGTTGGGATTTCTACAACTTACAGACACAGCTGCGGGGACTGCCTTCGTCTTGGGAAGAATGACTTCTTTCACTTTCCCCAAAAGCCCTTTACCCCAGCACTGTTGGGCTCTTTGCTTTACAGGTATAGAGTCCACCAGACACAATATTCTATTCTGAAGGGCTGGCTTCTTTCTTTGTTTCTCGTTCAGGTTCCCCTCAGCGAGTTAACGGCAAGGTGAAAGGGAGGATCTTTGTGGGGGCCAGCCAGGTTCCCATTGTCTTTGAGAATACTGACCTCCATTCTTACGTGGTCATGAACCATGGGCGGTCCTACACGGCCATCAGCACCATTCCTGAGACTGTCGGGTACTCTCTGCTTCCTCTGGCCCCAATTGGAGGCATCATTGGATGGATGTTTGCAGTGGAGCAAGATGGATTCAAGAATGGCTTCAGCATCACAGGTAATTGACCTTAAAATTAATGGGCTGGGTTGAATGGAAAGGGAACTCTATGTGTCTGCAAATAAGTTACAGATAAGTATTTTGTGGCTCTGGAAATAAGGTGTTGGGGTAAAATCATCAAGTTTTTCATTAGTATACAAAGAGATCAGACCAGTCAATCTTAAAGGAAATCAACCCTGAATATTCATTGGGAGGACTGATGCTGAAGTTCCATTACTTTGGCCACTTAAAGCAAAGAACCGACTCATTGGAAAAGAATCTGATGCTGGGAAAGATTGAGGGCAAGAGGAGAAGGGGGCGAGAGATGATGAGATGGCTAGATGACATCAATGGACATAAGTCTGAGCAAACTCCAGGAGATAGTGAAGGACTGGGAAGCCAGGCATGCTGCAGTTCATGGGGTCGCAGAGAGTCGGACACGACTGAGCCACTGAACAACAACAACAATACGTTAACTCAGACTATCTAGAATTGCATTTTGATCGGGGAGCAATTTCATATTGGTGATGCTTTGTATATGGGTCGATTTAAATTGAAGATACTTTGTAACTTACATCAACATCAGGGAGGCAGAGGTAATCTTTACAAATTCCCTACAACAGCAAATATTTGTTTCTACAATGGTCCTTCTTAACTGCCCCAGAACATGTGTTATCAGCGGGATATCTGCCTGGACCTGGGGCCTGTAAAGCAGAAGTTGTCAGACTTTTTCTGCAAAGGGCCAGAGAATAAATATTTTAAGCTTTGCCTAAATATTTTAGGCTATTCGTTCTCTTTTGCAGCTATTCAGCTCTGTTGTTATCAGTTGAAAGTAGGCATAGATAATATATAAATGAATGAGCATGACTGTGTTCCAGTGAAATTATTCATGGGCACTGAAATGTAAATTTCATATAATTTTCACATATCATGAAATAGCTACCAGCCATGCTAACAGGGGAGACTGAAAACGTGGAGAAGGGAGGAAGCTGGAAGAAGGTGGAGTATTTTTTTCCTGTTTGTCTGGGGCTGCTGCCTGGCCTAGACCAAGAGGAGGTCCTGAGCCAGCACCCGGGACATGTACTCCTAGGATGGTATCTGGACTTGGTGATGGTTTGCCCTGAACAACTCACCCATTCTGGCCGGGGCTTAGCTGTGAACAATAGTCATCCCCCTAACTGATGTCTTAGAGCCCTTGATGTTTGGCAGAGCACTTTTTAACATACTTATCTAATTTCCGCAAGATAGATATTGTACACCTTTCATCATTAGGAAATGGAGGCTCAGTGGGTTTAAGTAACGCATTCAAGTTCACCCAACCAGTACTGAGCACAAACCCCGATACCCTGCTTTTTCCAGCACAAATCCTGAGCCCACCCATCTCAGATGCTGGTTTTCAGATGGGAAATGGCTTTTGTTTCTTGTGCGTGACTGAGTTGGGCTGCAAGTAAGGCCCAGCTCTTTCCTTGACATCACCGGCCCTGTTTCTACTCCCGAGACTAAAGCATCTGTAGAGGAGGTGTGAGCCTGTCCCCGCCGTGAGTCGGGGCAGGCGTGAGTGTGACTTCTCTGACAGCAAAGTGACAGGCTGACCTTGCTTTGCAGGCGGGGAGTTCACCCGCCGGGCTGAGGTGGCCTTCGTGGGGCACCCGGGCAAGCTGATCATCAAGCAGCAGTTCAGTGGCATCGATGAGCACGGACACCTGACCATCAGCACGGAGCTGGAGGGCCGCGTGCCGCAGGTCGCCTTCGGCTCCATGGTGCACATCGAGCCCTACACAGAGCTCTACCACTACTCACGGCAGGGTGAGCCGCGTCCCGCGTCCCGCATCCCGCATCCCTCATCCCAGGGCAGTGCTACACACGGGCTCCAGCCTGAGCTCATGCTGGCCCTGGTCCAGAAGGGGAAACGCAGGGCTTACCTTACTCAGACCACCTTCCCTTAACACAGACATTGAGCATGCTCACTGGAGAGGCTCTAGTGCGGAAAAGAAAATAAGCATAACTTACAGACCTGAAACCAGGACATGACTATTAAATTAAGTGTATTTCTTTTCAGCCTTTTCCTTACAGACCTAAAACCAGAACATGACTATTAAATTAAGTATTTCTTTTCAGCCTTTTCCTTATATACAAAATATATCTCAATGTATATATATCTCACATGTAATAATTTATATATCAACACGTATTCTATCCTTATATATAAAAAATCATGTACTTCTCTTTATATACAAAAAATATCCAAACATATATATATATTACACATGTATTCACATATATATCAACGTATACTAGCCTAACATAAATAGCTCATCATATTATATAATGTCAGAATAAAATAATTTTATCACATATCTGTATGTAGTTTTTAAACTTTTCATTTCAAATTTACACAAAGTTGAAAATAGCACAATATCCACATATCATTTCCCCAGCTTCACCAGTTGTTAACATTTTGCTACATTCTCTTTATTGTTCTCTCCCTTCCTTATATATAAGAGAGAGTTAAGTTGTAGACTCTGTGATCCTGCATCTCCTAAATATTTTACAATATTTCACATGTTTTTTCTAATGACAAGAATATTCTCTCATGGTCCCAGTACAGTCATCAAAATCAGGAAGTTTAACATTGATGCAATACTATTGTATACTCTACAGTCAAGTATATAGTTTCAATTTAAATTGCAATCATACCACATTATTGTACATTTACTTTTCCAGTTAGGTCAAATCACAACTGCCGGATAGTTCCATTAAATAGGCGTTGCAAACACTTTTTAATGACTCTATACCATTTTATTGTATGGCTATCAATTTAAACCATTCTCTTTTCTAAAGCTTACATTATTTCCAATTTTTCCTTGTCTCCATGAGTTGCAATGATCATCTTCATCATAAACCTTGACCAAATTTCTGATTCTTTTCTGACCGAATTCCTAGAAACAGAAGCGATGAGTCAAAGGAAACTCTAAAGTCTCTTATTAAATTGCCATCTAGAAAGGTTGTACCAATTACCATGACTTCGTGGCCGGCTCGGGCTCTCCTGGGGAAAATGAGAGGGTGAGTAGGAGGTGGGAGGGGTAGCAGGACCCCACCTGCACGTCCGGCTGTGACCAGATGGTGTTTCTGGCAGGCCAGCACATGGCGGCTGGACAAGAGGCGGCTTACATCAATCTTTTATTTATCCTCTGGCTTTTATTACCAACTATAGCAGAGCACACAACATAAAGAGCCTTTTGTGCTTCTTTTTTTTAAATAGGAAGTCAAGATTTTTCACTGCATGGGCCAAAAGTAAACTAGTTCTCTTCTGAGTAGGGAAGACTGTCTCTCTTCTCTGTTGAGATTTGCTCACAGCTCTTTAGTAATTTATAGAAATTTGCTACTGAAACCTATTAGTGTCTCATTTTTATACATCAGAGAACCATTTAATCAAGGGTTATTTATAGCAGCCACTATTTATTGAATCCTAAGTGAGATAACCCATAGAAAGCAGTTAGCACTCTGCTTGTCACGTGGTCAATGCCCCATAGATGGTAGTTTGTCTTACAGAGTATTAGCCTGCTTGATTCCAGAAATTTTATATACATTACCTCATTCTTACCCCAGTCCATGTTGTAAAGGAAACAGGGTAAAGAAGTTAGTAACTGGTCTGTGATCATGCTCCTTGTGAATGAAGGTGCAAGTTGTGAATTCTCTTTTCAAGCTGGTGCTCTTTCCATCAGGCCTTATCCCTGGGTTGACTAAGGAACTTACAGAGAAACACTTGACGAGAAAAAGCAGTAAATATTCCTAATGCAAATAACAGCAGTAATAGAAAATCTAGGTAGTGGAATGAATCTCAACACTGAAATAAATGGTTTCATTTATCCTGTTCCATCTGACCTCTCATCTGGTCGCATTATGAGCAGAGAATACTGCTGATGATTTTATTTATTTATTTTGGGTCTTGGCTGGGTCTTCATTTCTGATCAGGCTTTTCCTCTAATTTCTGCTAGTGGTGGCTACTCTCTAGTTGTGGTGGGCAGGCTTCTCATCACAGTGGCTTCACTTGTTATGGAACACCAACCAGCTCTAGGGTTCCAGGGCTTCAGGAGTTGTAGCTCCTGGGCTCTAGAGCACCAGCTCAGTAGTTTTGGCACAGGGGTTTAGTTGCTCCACAGCATATAGTATCTTTCTGGACCAGGGATCGAACCCATGTCCCCTGCATTGGCAGGCAGATTCTTTACCACTGAGCCACCAGGGAAGCCCTGCTGATGATTTTCATGTCCTAAGCCTCTTGCATCCTCAAGCTGTCTCCTCTGTTTCCCTGCTTGCCGCCCGTATCCAGTGATCACATCATCCTCCACCCGGGAGTACACGGTGACGGAGCCCGAACGAGATGGCACTGCCCCTTCGCACGTCCACACTTACCAGTGGCGCCAGACCATCACCTTCCAGGAGTGCGTCCATGACGACTCCCGGCCGGTCCTGCCCAGCACCCAGCAGCTCTCCGTGGACAGCGTGTTTGTCCTGTACAACCAGGAGGAGAGGATCCTGCGCTATGCTCTCAGCAACTCCATTGGCCCCGTGAGGGGTAAGAGGTGGCGGCTCAGACTGGGCATGTGTGTGTGTGTGTGTGTGTGTGTGTATGTGTGTGTGCATGTGTGCGTGCATGTGCATGCGTGTGTGCGTACGTGTGTGCATGTGTACGTGTGTATGCATGTGCGTGTGTGCGTGCACGTGCATGTGTGTGTGCATGCGTGTGTGTCCACCTGCATGGCCCGCTCTGTGCTTTTGACGTGTTGTTTTTTGTTTCTTGTTCTCGGTAAGAAGAAAGTCATGCTAAAATAGCTCCTGACAGAAATAAACAGCTTCTCATCTATGATTCTTAGAAAACTTAAGGTAAAGAGTAGACCATTCAAGGGCTGCACCTGCCTGCAACTGGGCATTTATTTTTATTTATGTATTTATTTTCTCTTCTTTTCTGTTATGATTTATTACAGGATATTGAATATAGTTCCCTGTGCTATACAGTAGGACCTTGTTCTTTATCCAGTCAATACCATTTTATATGTAATAGTGTGTATCTGCTAATCCCAAACTCCCCAGTCCAACCCTCCCTTGCTCCCCAACTTGACAACACAGGTCTGTTGTCTATATCTGTGAGTCTGTTTCTGTTTTGTAAACAAGTTCATTTGTGTCATATTTTAGGTCGCACATATAAATGATAACATTTATTTGTCTTTCTGACTTCTTTACTTAGTATGGTAGTCTCTAGGTTCATCCATGTAGCTGCAAAATGACATTATTTCATTCCTTTTTCCCTTTTATGGCTGAGTAATATTCTCTTGTATATATGTACCACATCTTTATCCATTCATCTGTCAATGGGCATTTAGGTTCTTCCCTGTCTTGGCTATTGTGAATAGTGCTGCTATGAACATAGGGGCACATGTATCTTTTTGTAGTTTTGTCTGGATATATACCCAGGAGTGGGATTGCTGGATCATATTGCAACACTGGTTTTAGCTTTTTGAGGAACCTCCATACTGTTTTCCATAGTAGCTACACAAATTTACATTCCCGCCACAGTGCAGGAGGTTCCATTTTCTCCACACCCTCCCCAACATTTGTTATGTGTAGACTTTTTAATGATGACCATTCTGACTGGTGAAAGGTAGTACCCCTTGTGGTTTTTATTTGCATTTACCTAATAATTAGTGATATTGAGCATCTTTTCATGTGCCTATTGATGGCAGGTATTTAAAAAACTCTGACACTCACTGTGAAAGGAGTGTGTGCTCAGGGCTTGGGGAAATCCAAGTCAAATCTGCTAAGTCAGGCATAGAACCTACATTGAGCTCTCTGCCCTGGGACAGCACAGTGTGGAGCTGGGGTCTGGTCTCGGGTGCTTCTGGTTGTGGAAGAAGCTGGAACCAGTGTAACAGCCCAGCCTCAAGGTCTCACATAGTCCAAATCTTGAAGCCCTAGAGGTTCTGCATATTTGGTGCCTGGGTGTGGCATTTCTCTATCTCAGTTATTTTTGGTTCTCCCTCCATACCCAGGCCACTTCTCCAGCTGGTCATATTGTCCCTTGGCTGTCCATAAACCAGAAGAGGGCGGGTGTTTCTCTCCCTCCTTTGACCGCTGTAGCTCCAGGCATCAGGGGTTGGCATATTTTTTCTTAAAAGGGCAAACAGTGGATATTTGAGGCTTTGCTAGTCATGCAGTCTCTGTCATGAGTGCAGTTCTACAACTGTAGCACAAAAAGCCATAGACCACTTGCACGTGAATGCATGTGGCCGGTTTCCAATAAAACAGACATGAGTCCAAAGGGATGTAGTTTGCTGATCCCACTCCAAGTAAGCAGGAATCCGCAGGTTTCCTGGTCATCAATCCTGTCCTACTTTCTGGGGGAGGAGGTGACCTGTAAGCGTTTCTGAATCCTCATGGGGTTTCAATGTCTCCGCCTTCACAGATGGCTCCCCTGAAGCCCTTCAGAATCCTTGCTACATCGGCAGTCATGGGTGTGACACCAACGCAGCCTGTCGCCCTGGCCCAGGGACCCAGTTCACCTGCGAGTGCTCCATCGGCTTCCGAGGAGATGGACGGACCTGCTACGGTACAGCCATTCACTCTGATGTGTGTGGGGAGGCTTGCAGGGGGCAAACAGATACTGTAAAGCAGAGAGCTGGGAGAGGCGAGGAAACACAGGGGAGATAAATACTGATGGGCATGCCGAGTTGTTTAAGCCCCACACTCGGTGTTTCCCCATGATATTAAGGGTCCTGGCCCTTTCATCTTCTGATCAGATGCCCCGACTCTAAGCAGCAGAACAGAGTTTATAAGGCCATACACCACTTCATCTTGAGAATACGCAGGTTTAAAGGAAAGAGAGAGTCAGGGCTGCTTATAACACACATAATATGACCATATGGAGTAGGAAATGGCAATCCACTCCAATATGCTTGCCTGGAACATTCCAGGGACAGAGGAACCTGGTGGGCTACAGTCCACGGGGTCACAAAGAGTGACTGAGGTGACTTAGCATGTGACCATAACTGTTAAAAACATTGTTGTGTTAGGTGCTTCATAAACATCATCTCATCTAATTCAGCAACTCTGATGAGATAGATGTTTTCATTTCTGTCTTTTAAAAATTATTTTTTAAAAGACAATTATTTTTAATTGTGGTAAAGTGCACGTGATATAAAATTGATCCTTCTAACCATTTTTAAGTGTACAGTTCAGTGGCATTAAGTACTTTCACGTTGTTGTGTGACCATCACCACCGTCCATGTCCAGATCTTTCATTTGCAAAACTGAAAGTCTATTTCCATTAAATAATGACTTTCCATAGCCCCTGGCCCCAGCCCCTGGCAACCACCATTCTACTTTCTACAAATTCCAGGACTCTAGGTAACTCATGTAAGTGGAATCATGCACTATTTGTCCTTTTGTGACTGGCTTATTTCACATAGCATCATATCCTCAAGGTTCGTACATATTGTAGCCTGTGTCACAATTTCCTTACTTAAAAAAAAAAAATTTATTGGACTGTAGTCGATTTACAACGTGGTATTAGTTTCAGCTGTACAGCAAAGTGAATATGTTATATGTATGCATATATCTACTCTTTTTTAGATTCTTTTCCCTTATAGGCCATTACAGAGTGTTGAGTAGAGTTCCCTGTGTGAAACAGTAGGTCCTTGTTAGTTATCCATTTTATATACAGTAGTGTGTTTGTGTTATCCCAATCTTCCAGTTTGTCCCTTCCCCCTTCCCCCCTTCCCTCCTTTTTAAAAATGAGAAATATTCCATGGTGTGCATATATTCCTTTTTTTTACAAAAAACCCCATTCATTTGTCTATGGACAGTTGGGTTGCTTCACTTTTTGGGGTCTTGTGAATATTTCTGCTGTGAACATGGGGGTACAAATATCTGTTTAAGACTCTGCTTTCGACTCTTTTGGGGATATACCCAGAAGTAGAATTGCTGGATCGCATCAGTTCTGTGTTTGGCTTTTTTGAAGAACCGTCACGTTGTTTTCCACAGCAGCTGCATCATTTTATATCCCACCACCAGTACACAAGGGCTGCATTTCTCCACATCCTTGCCAACACTTGTTGTTTTTTTGATAGCGGCTACCCTAATGGGTGGGAAGTTTATTCCTGTTTTTACAGATGAGAAACGTGAACTAAGGATATTAGAATGTTGGACCTTGAGTACCTGACTCAAGTGCCTATATTCCACTGTCCTCATTGTATAATACTTATTACTTATAATTTCACTTTGAATACTTTCACATAAACAGCTTGATATTTATGTTTGTTACTAAATTTTAATTCACCACCGAAAGACAGTTAGTTGATGCCTATCTCGATGGAAAATCCACACAGATGCAACTAGTGGAAGAACATCAAATGCTAGGAATGCCCTGGTGGTCCAGTGGTGAGGACTCTGAGCTCCTACTGCAAGGGGCACAGGTTTGATTCCTAACTGGGGGACTAAGATCCCACAAGCTGAGCTTTGTGGCCAAAAACCAAAACAAAAACCCACAATGTCGAATGCTTCCTTAACCTGCCATGGCAGGCTCACCAACAAATGCAAGCGATGCTAGAGGTAAGCTTCCCTAGTGAAATGGGTAGTGTGCACGTGTCTGTTTAGTTAGAATGATGAGCAGCCCCCTTGAATGACTGCAGCCAAAATAATCTGGGGAGCCCAGCAGAATTTGGAGTATGGGAATGATGCCTCTGGTCTGGAATCCACTGAACTGAATCCAATGAATGCCTGCAATTAATGGCAGCTTTAGTGTGCTGATTTAATGTGAGGGTTAACTGATCAGGCTGCATTGGCTTCAGAGTGAAATTTATGAATGGTGCTCACTGGAACGTCTGAAAGGATGAAGAACAGAAACTAGGCTTATGGGAACAGCTTGTACGATTGTTCAGCCAGCTTGCTTATAACTGTCCGTGTGATAGAATTCAGTCTGAGACTTGTTTCCCTTGTGACATACCGCTGCGTAGGGGACATAGTTCCTATTCATCTCTGATCTTCAGTTTCCCAGTGTTTCTCCGGAGAGCCCACCAGTCTTGAATGGCTGAATTGGCTCAGGCTGGTTTAGAGCAGCAGGATCCCGTGTGTATGTGAGCAGAGCCCTGCCAGACAACACACAGAGATGGGGCGACCCCATCTCTCCAGCAGAAGCCTCCAACTCTGTAGTCTTCATGCAGCCCAGCTTCAGCTTCCTAAGCAAACTGAACATTAATAAAATGTGGAGCCATCTTCTCCAACTGCTGAAGCCACACGTGCATGAGTGCACAGTCGCTCCAGTTGTGTCCAGCTCTTTGCGACCCCACAGACTGTAGCCCACCAGGCTTCTCTGTCCAAGGGAGTCTCCAGGCAGGAGTACTGGAGTGGGTCGCCGTGCCTGCCTCACTGAAGCCATAACCTTTGGCTGATTCTGCTTTGGCTGGCTGCTTCATCTCCCGAGGCACAACCAGCCGTGCTTTATGTATTGATATGTTGCTGCCCTGGAAACCCTTCTTACATCCTTGCCCACGAAGACACGTTCATGTGTCCTTGGTTTTGCCCTGTGATTAGCCCTCAACGTGGCAGATTTGCACCATGGAATGCGGGTCTGTTCCCAGTCCTGCCACTTTTTGTTCTGGGTCATGAGAATAAGCCTCATGGTATTAATGCATTGAGACACCAGGCTGTTGGTAGGAAATTGCATTAAGCAGATCACTTCACATGTTATTTTGACCCTGAAAGTGCCCCAGAAGAGAAGAATGAGGATAGACTTTTGTCATTCAGTGTGTGTAGCATTGACATAATGATAGATGACGTCCAGAACAAGGATGGGGTTGGTTGAACACTGCAGGGTGACCATCCAAGGTAATTTTGGAGAAGATTTCCAGTTGAATCAGAGCTCTGATGCCTGGTAGGACGACTTCCCTGTATTTCTCAGTTGGGAGGCTGTAAGAGAGAGTTTTGGACAATGTCTCATTGAGTAATTTTGAGTGCACTCAAGGCATTTAACAAATCTGTCCTGAGACTGTTCTCCTCCCAGAGCCTGGCATTTATGAGGAGGACACACTGGAGAAACTTTTATTTGTTGGAGTTTTTGAAAATATGTGAAAAGTAGCCACTCAGAAAAAAAGTCAAAACGGAAGCAGTGATTATAAGAATAATTCAGGATCTTCCTGTTGGGTTAGGGAATGATTTATTTGAGAGGAAATCTCTTTCTAGAGAAAATGTGTCCAGATATTGACCAGTAAGAACAGTAATGGACTGCCCAGGTGGCTCAGTGGTAAGGAACCTGCCTGCCAATGCAGGAGACAGAAGAGACGCAGGTTCCATTTGTGAGTCAGGAAGATCCCTGGAGTAGGAAATGGCAACCCACTCCAGTATTCTTGCCTGGAAAATTCCATGGACAGAGGAACCTGGAGGACTATAGTTCACAGGGTTGCAAAGAGTTGGACACAACTGAGAGCATATGCATGCACACACACACACACAAGAACAATCATCTTCAAGGAGATATTGTGATATATTCCACAAGGAACAGTTATCACTAGTTCATTGTTTCTGCTGAAGAATGGATTAGAGTCCTAGCCTCCACTTACAGGAGAGAGGGTTTCAATCAGGCATTCAAAGAGTTTCCAAACTGTAAGGACCGTGAGATATTAGCAGGGAGATTGCTAGGGTTTTGCTGTACACACACACACAAAAAAAGGCACCACCCAGCTTGGATTTTATGTGTAGACCTGCATGGAGGTGGGCGTGGTGCTAGTGGACCATCCCCTCCCTCATCCCAGGAGCCCCCAGATCCTATCTGCCAGTGGTTCTCCTGGTAGGACCTGCCAGAGACCATCCTTCAAATGGTCCTAAGAAACTTTCTTGAAACATGCAGTCTCCCTTTCCATAAACCTTCCAGCGGCAGACTTTCCTGGTGGTCCAGTGGATAAGACTCTGCACTCCCAGGGCAGGGAGGCTGAGTTCCGCCCCTGGTCAAGGAGCTAAGATTCCCACACACTGCAGCTAAAGATCACATGTGCCACTGCTAAGACCCAGCACAGCCAAATAAATAAATAATTTTTAAAAAAACCTTCCGGGGGGGGAAATGAAACTTGGAAAATTTCCCCTGGTGATTGCGTTCTGTCCCTCTGATTGAATACTGCTGCTCTGTGCTCTGGCAGTTAAGTCTCGGCTGTGGAGCCCTGCAGTCTGCACGGGGTGTCCAGACATCTGGGCCCGGGGTGTCCTCTGAGAGCTGCAGTGCAGAGACAATAAAGCCAGAACGAGCTTTTCCCCCCATGTTGCTGAGGCAGCAGCTGGTGGATAGAGCTGGGAAGCCACACTTGCTGAATATCCCTCTACCCCAGCCCAGCTCCAGCTTCTTAAGAGGGGGCTTCGGAGGGGCTTTGTTTTGTAACCTTCCAGCGGTGCCTAGACTTGTCCCCTGGTCTGACATCTTGTAGATTTTTTTTTTTAATTGAAGTATAGTTGACTTACAGTGTTGTTCCAATCTCTGCTATATCATAAAGAACTCAGTTATACACATATATAGTTTGCTTTCTTAATATTCTTTTCCATTATGGTTTATCTCAGGATATTGAATAGTTTCCTGTGCTATACGGTAGGACCTTGGTTTTTATCCATTCTAAATGTAATAGTTTGCATCTTCCAACCCCAGACTCCCAGTCTGTCCCTCCCACCCTGCCTCTTGGCAACCACAAGTCTGTTCTCTGTGTCTGTGAGTCAGTTTCTGTTTTATTGCTGTTGTTCAGTTGTTAAGTCGTGTCCAACTCTTTGTGATCCAATGGACTGCAGCACACCAGGTTTCCCTGTCCTTCACCGTCTCCTGGAGTTTGCTCAAACTCATGTGCATTGAGTCAGTGATGCCCTCCAACCATCTCATCCTCTGTCACCCCCTTTTCCTCCTGCCCTCAATCTTTCCCAGCATCAGAGTCTTTTTCAGTGAGTCGGCTCTTTACATCAGGTGGCCAGAGTATTGGAGCGTCATCTTTAGCATCAGTCCTTTCAAAGAATATTCAGGATTGATTTCCTTTAGGATTGACTGGTTTGATCTGTTTTGTGGCTAGGTTCATTTGTGCCATAGTATAGACATATAAGTGATATGAGATCTTATATCTTAAGCATATCACAGAAATGTACATTGCAGTATAGTTTCAAAAAGCTGAATGCCATCTGGTTTGTGTTTTTGTCTGAGTGTAGGTCCAACTATGGGGCTAAAGTGGCAAAAATGTTTGTGTTGTGTGACATTGTCTAATAAGACAGCAGGACTTTTGCCTCATCAGGGAAGAGACTGGCTACACAGGACATTGGAGATGGATGCACAAGCTAGATTCATGTTATGGAACTGAGGAGGGGAGGTTGAGAGGGGAGGGGAGTTGTGTGGTCTCAGCCATTGTGAAATCTTCCTCACATGCATCTCCAAGAGTTCGAAAAATGCCAGAAGTAACTACACCCTGAGAATGAGGTTGGCACAGAGGCATCTTGTGTGACTGTTTATTTCAGATCCTCAGTGGGCAGGTAACCAAGGTGATGACAGACCAGCTTGATTTTTTGTCTGGGCCCACCAGCCTTACTGTAGTGGTAACTACAGACTGGCCTCCCAATGCCATGGCCATCCGAGGGCTGTGTTCCTAGAAATAGAACATCCCCATGCTGGTGGTATAGGTATTACACTTAATAATAGGCACATTTCTTTTATTTTTATTTATTTTTTCTTTTTTTGGCCATACCACATGACATGAGACATCTTAGTTTTCCAACTGGGGATAAAACCCATGCCCCTGCACTGGAATCATGAAGTCTTAACCACTGGACCACTAGGCAAGTCCAAATAGGTACATTTCTTGAGCAGGTTAGGCTTACATCTATTTTCTGTAATCTTCAGAAGGACTTCTTAAGATGAATAGTAGTGTATGTACTTACTAACAGGGAAACTGAGGCAGAGTAGTTTGGCAGCGTCTCCAGGACCACACAAGCTAATCACCAAGGGAGGAAGAATTTGAACCTAGCTGTGTTCAGCTCCAGTATTCCTGCCTGGAGAATTCCATGGACAGAGGAGCCTGGCGGGCTACAGTCCATGGGGTCGCAAAGAGTCGGACACAACTGAGCAACTAACACATGTATATGTATGTATGTGTTCAGCTTTGAAATGTGCATTGTTTTGTTCCCGTCACACCACTTGATGACCTCAGAATTGTCCTATGAGAGAACATCACTTTTAATCTTATGAGTTAATGGTTTGCCTTTTAGTGCATTAAACTCAGGATGGTGGCACGTGCGTGATCAGTCATGTCTGACTCTTTGCAACCTCATGGACTGTAGCCCACCAGACTCCTCTGTCCATGGGATTCTCCAGGCAAAAATACATGCCTTCTTCCAGGGGATCTTCCCCACCCAAGGACTGAACCTGAATCTCTTATGTCTCCTGCATTGAAAGCTGGTTCTTTACCACTAGCACCACCAGAGCATATTTAATGACAGTTTGTAGTTTAGGAACCTTATTCAGAGTCTGGAGACTTGTCTGCACATCTTTCTAACACAGATTTGCCCATCTGATGTTAGTGGTACCCAGGTCAACAACTAACTCCAGGAGATGGAAGGTGGGAAGGGTTGCGGGGAGGTGGGAGAAGCAGTTTTATTTATGAGGAGGGCCTTGGGATCACTGTCTCCAGTTATGCACAGAAGAAAATATTTAGTGATGCTTTTGGAATACTAAAAATGTGTTTTAAAATGGATCCATTTGCAGGCAAAAATACTTTATATTTTATTATAGTGATGTTTGGAGAGGTGTTTTTTTTTAAAGTCTGCTTTTAAAACAAAATTTTGCTTTAGATATCGACGAATGTTCAGAGCAGCCCTCGGTGTGTGGCAATCACGCAGTCTGCAATAACCACCCAGGAACCTTCCGCTGTGAGTGTGTGGAGGGCTACCGGTTTTCAGAGGCAGGAACATGTGTGGGTAAGTTCTGTGGGTGACTTTTTTTTTATGTTCTTTTACCATATTCTTTTCTATTATAGTTTATCTCAGGATATGGAATATGGCTCCTTGCATTACCCAGTAGGACCTTGCTGTTTATTCTATTCATAATAGTTTGGATCTGCTAATCCCAAACTCCCAATCCTTCCCTTTCCCACCTCCCTCCCCCAGGCAACCACAAGTCTGTTCTTTATGTCTGTGAGTAGGTGACTTTTCAGAACGAGTGTTCATAGGATGTATGTCAGCGCCTGTATGAATGGTATAGCCTCAGTAATTATCCTGGCTGAGATGGAAGATTCCTGATTTTGTTGTTGGGGAGGGCAGTTTACAAAGGTGAATCAGTCTCTGCTCCTTTATTCTGACCACCTGGAGAGTCACAGGTACAAGGCATAAGCAGTGTTATTTGTCTACACTAGTAATACCATTCTCTTCTTATAAAACTCCTTTTAATTCTTTCCATTATTCTTTAAATAGCTATTCAAACAATTAGACATGCTTCTCCTTATAATCAGTGGCCTTGGGATTCATGTGGAGGGAATACCTTATAGGTATTTGTGTCATTATCTGCCTTTGATTAAATTCCTCTTGGTTTGCATCTAAAACTCATTTGGGGCCTTTCTGTGTATGGATTTCCATTTTACAAACCACAAGTACTAGCATAACTTCATAGCCTATCAAAGTTAGAAGAGTTAAGGGGACTTCCTTGACGGTCCAGTGGTTAAGACTGCATCTTCCATGGCAGAGGGCCTGGGTTCAATCCCTGACTGGGGAACTAAGGTCCCACATGCCATGCAATGTGGCCAAAAAAAAATTTTTTTTAAGTTAGAAGTTAAGGCCATTAATTAGACTAATTATGCTTTACATTGATAATTTTGGTGGTGACGATGGGCCAACTACAAAGAGCCAGATTGTTTAAATTCCCCACCCCCCCACTGCTGCATTTTGACCTGTAGTTTCCAAGACTTTCAAGTTCAAAGATTCTTGGATATTTCCAGGTCTGGAAGGCAGCATGCTGAAGGGGGCATCTGAACTCAACATTTATTCCCAATTTAAAATATATTTCTCTTTCACTGCATCAATGAACCATCTCTTTGCCCCTTTCTTGCTGTTTACTAAACCCTAGCAGGCTCTTTGTGTTTGCTATGAGGCTGCCAAGGTCCCAGGGTGAGGTGGTGTCTTGAGGGCGGAGGGAACAGGCCGTTCTCATATTTTGAGTATGACCCAAACATCTGTGAACTGAGACAAGGCCAGGCCCCTTTGCACAGAGCTGAGATTTCAGCTCTGCTCAAGTTACCTCTATCTTTTTTTTCCCATTGAGAACAACAATTTCTGTGAATTTGGCCTGACTTCTTTCTCTGCTTTTTTCAGTGAAGAAGATTCAAAGCTCTATTTTTGTGGCAGTACCATTTACATTACATTTCGGCTCAAACTTGGGTAGCAGATCCTTTAAGCCTTGGGTGGTGACATGAACGAACGCTGGAACAGATATGTGTGAGGCATGATGTCCTGGGTTTCTGTTTCCAGCCGTTCCTGGTGTCTACCCTCATGGAAGGGCTAGAGCGGGGTATAACACAGGTGGTAAGCAAATGTCTACTCCTAGGCTTTTGATTTTGAGGAAGACACTTAACTGCTCTGGGCCTCAGTTCCTCACCTGTAAAATGAGGTGATTAGACTGAACCACGGGCTTCCTGTGTCCCAAGGAGCCCTTAGAGATGCCCCAGGATCTGCCCATAAGGACACAAGTAAGCCATGGACAGACTATTTCCCTATATATGAAATTCTGAGTAACATTTTGTTTAAGTAATGGATCCCATTGCTCAGAAACAAGTGTGAAAACCACTTGAAGATCATCGAGTTCAAGTGCTTCTCCCCCTGTCAGTAGCCTCTGTGCAATTCCATTTTACTTGGCCTTTTGTCTCTTTTAATTGGCTCCTTTGAGACTTAACCACAGAGAGTAATGGCTCACTGGATAAAACCAAGTCTGCCTGAAAGCAGAAAAAATACTTTGGCTCATCACTGGATAATTTAGTGGTCAGTTTCACTCTCCTGGAATTCCTTGTTAAAACTGGATCCTGGGAACTGGTGGTCCAGTGGTTAAGACTCCATGCTTCCACTGCAGGGAGCACAGTTTCAACCCCTGGTTGGAGGAGTAAGGTATCACAAGCCTCGCAGCTTCGCTGCCCCCCAAATAATACTAAAATAAATAGAAGCATAAATGAAGGTGATGGCTGAGCAGGACCCATCCATCCAGGCTGTAGCAAGGTCCTTACCTGTTATGATGGGTGGGGCGGAATGAGGCGGGAGCAAACACAACATGTGAAGTGATCACTCACATACTTTAAATGACAAACATTTAATGGAGGAGGACTGAGACTCCTTTGCTGGTTATTCTGCCTGAATACATTTTTTCTACCTTTTTTTTGACCCCAATTCTCCATAAGTGTCCTTTTCACATTTTGTGAGCTGAAGGAGTTGGTCAAGAGAGGGCCCTGGAGGAAAGAAGAATGTTAGGTACGATGGGAAGCGAGAAGATGGGAGGGGTTCAAGGAAACAGAGTGTGTCCTTGGGTTGGCTCCGTGTAATCTGGTTTTCTGTTTTCCAGGCAGAAATTTGGACCGCTTGTAGCAATTTAAAATCTAGTAACCCTCTGGCCCACAGGAGTTGCTTCAGTGATCCCTGTTCCATTCCTTGGGAGTTAGTTAACATTTAAACTTCAGGAGTTTAAGCTGCTAAGTCCACAGGCTGGGCCTTCATCCACCAGTACGGTACTTTGCTAACCTCTCATGGACCCAGACCTTTGAAGGGCTTCCTCCTCTACCTGTCTTCTGGCAGTGTTAAGACCTGTCTCTCCTAAAGCCCTTGAGGCAGGATAAACTGGAACTAATCTTGGGAAAGCTCACTGAGGAAAAAGATGAGGCGTTCTCTTGTATCCAGGATAATCTAAACATTGAGGGCCTCCTTGGAGGGAAGGAAAGGTTCTATTATGACATTGTGAGGGCTAGTACTCTGACCTGGGCCTTAGAACTGTAAAACCAGAAGTTAAAGTACCTTATGAACCCGGAGTATCTGAACCAGTCATCAGAAATCTCCTTCTAGACCTCAGTCCTTGACTTTTTTTTAGGCTTAAATTGTTATTATGGAAAATTTCAAACATATACAAAAACAGAGAGAAAAATATAATGAACCCTGTGTACCTATTATTCAATTTCCATATTATGAAGCATTTTGTTAGTCTTATTTTATTTCCCATCCCTATTACTACTATTTCTACTGCTGGGGAGGGTGGTAGTGTTTTGCTGGTATATTTCAGTCTTTAAAGAAAACCCCAAATATCCTGTCATCTAACTAGAGTTACTAGTTTTTTGTGCACATTATATGCATAGCATATATCTGACATATAAGGGCGAATTTTTTTTTAGCACAAATACAATGCTGTTACCATACCTAACAAAATGAACAATTTCTTAACATGATTGAATACCCAGTCCATATTCAAGTTTCCTTGATTATTTCAAGCATCTTTTAGAGTTAGTTCATCTCAACCCTTGCCTGTCATCTTGAGGCAAGAGTACAAGATGGAGTCTGATTGTCTAGCCTCTGTGTCACATGCCTACTTCCTGAGTCCTCATCCTAGGAGTCTTGTCATCAGGATCCTTTAGAAAATAATAGTCTCCTGGACCTGTCTGTGCTTGGAAAGCTGGAAGTCATTCCTATTCTACAGAGGAAGAAAGTGCAACTCTGGGAAGTTAATAGGATTTATACAAAGCCACATAGTGGACTCATATGCACCTGGTGGAAACCCAGGGCTTCCCACCCCGGAGCCCCACAGTCATCCCACTCTCCCTGTCTCACTTCCCTGGGAAAGTTTGTTTCTCCTTCCTTGGTGGGGAATGGATGACTTTGACTTTGGCATTTATAATATTCTTCCCACCTAGTGAGCCAAGGGCTTCCCCGGGTGGCTCAGTGGTGAAGAACCCACCTGCCAATGCAGGAGACATAAGAGACACAGGTTTGATCCCTGGGTCAGGAAGATCCCCTGGAGGAGGGCATGGCCCCCCACTCCAGTGTACTTGCCTGGAGAATCCCATGGACAGAGGAGCCTGGTGGGCTCTAGTCCATAGGGTCACAAAGAATCAGGCGTGACTGAAGTGACTTCATGCACGCACAGTGAGCCAAAATAAAAAATACTGTGTGGAAGTCTCAGATCCTCAGGCCCAAATGCTCCACCAACAAGAGTTACACAGGAAGCGTGTCTGCCTGCAGCGGTCCGCCTCCACATCCAGATGAAGGGGGAACTGGGTTCCGGGCACTGGGTGTGGACAGTGGCCTGAGACAGAGCCCTGGGTTGACGTTGAGGTCGAAAGCCAGGCTGTGTGACCCAGTGGGGGGTCAGTCTGTGAACACTTAGCAGAGGCGGGATCCAGGGGGGAGGCAACAAAGGTGAGCAGGGTAGAACCCTGCCGTGAGAGGGGATGAACCTGAAGAGACGTCTGGGAGTCTGGGCCCCAGGTACAGTCTCCACTCATTGGGCTGCACTGCTTGGAAGGCCTGGGGACTGCTTAGGGGACTCGCCTAAACCCTGTGTGTTAACTTTCTGTCTGAAGCTGTCATGGACCAGCGCCCCGTCAACTACTGCGAGACTGGCCTCCATGACTGTGACATCTCCCAGCGGGCCCAGTGCATCTACACCGGCGGCTCCTCCTACACCTGCTCCTGCCTCCCAGGCTTCTCTGGGGATGGCCGAGCCTGCAAAGGTGCGTGGCTGCTCTGACCTTCCTCTCTGTGCCGCCTGAAAAAATGCCCCAGGTGATGCTCATCATGTGCTCGTTACTCACCCACCTCTGAATTCAAGAGAACTAGTCTCTAGGAAACAGCAACCCACTCCAGTATTCTTGCCTGGGAAATCCCATGGCCAGAGGAGCCTGGCAGGCTACAATCCGTGGGGTCACAAACACAACTTAGCAACTAAACAACAAATTCTCTCAACTCTGTTGAGTAAACAGACTGCATTTTGTGTCTCTAGTAGTCTGAATTATGCATGTTGTTTGGGGAGCTCTGTCTTGTTGGAGAAGACACCTGTTCTCCCCGTTTTGTTCCATGTCACTTGCTTGTTCGGGCATAATTAAATGCCTGCTGTCTGCTAGGGACTAAGGAGATTGTTTGTCTTTCGTGAAAAGACTGACATTGCTTACACATGTAACTTAAAGTCCAGCCTTTAATTTGATAAGATTTATACAGTTGTTCATCTGGCCTGCTCTAATTTTTTGCTTCCCCCAAAATCAAATCCCCTTTTTGACTGCAGAGGCAGAGAATAAATGACTCCACAAAATTCTCTCAGACCTCAGATCAGCCGATCGCTGGTGGCCAGGGTGCTCGAAATAAGATAACTCTGAACATAGTTTCCTGGTCCCTTGGTTTGCAAAATTACTTAACATTATACCCTAGAGTATTTCTGGAAAGTCTGAGCTTTTCTAAGAGATCATGGTTTCTGAAACACTTTCTCTTTGTTACTGAGAATATGAATATTCTCTGGTCTCTGAGATTTTTCTGTTTCTGTCAATCAGTTTCTGTCAATCTGTCTCCCAACTCTTAGACATTTTTGAAGCTCTCATTTATAAGAAGGAAATAATGAAAAAAAAATCCTTTCATTTTTTTCCTTTTGTATGCTTGATTTTTCATGAGAACATTAAAGTGAAACGCATTTGTAAATGCACTAGATAGAAATTGAGGAATCAGTGTTTTTATAATTAATGTTTAGTGAGTTCTTAAACCATGGTTCCCAGATCAGAAATTGGGTCCCTAAAAGTGGAGCGAGTGGCTTATATTATTGTGTAAACTAGGAATTCTGGAAGAAGTCTCACTCTCCCTGGGCTTGGTGGCTGTCTTGCAGATGTGGATGAATGCCAGCCAAGCCGATGCCACCCCGATGCTTTCTGCTACAACACGCCAGGGTCCTTCACGTGCCAGTGCAAACCTGGTTACCAAGGAGACGGCTTCCATTGTGTGCCTGGAGGTGAGGTGTTGGGGTGTTTGGAACAGATAGGTCATTGCTGTCTATACCCATGAGTACTGAGTCCATAGCCCTGGGAGAGAAGACAAGGTGGGTAGTGGGAGGCTCGTGGAGAGCTGAGGTGGGTGATCAGAGCACAGCTGTAGTATTGAGCAGTACAGTTGTGTACTGCACAATTCCAGGGGTACCACACCTAGATCAGAAGAATAAGAACTGGTCTGTATTATTCAGGGTTCTCCAGAGAAGTAGATCTAACAAATGTGTGTGTGTGGAGAGAGAGAGAGAGAGAAATATATTTATTTACATATAAAGATATTTATTAGAAGGAATTGACCCACACACAGTTATAGAGGTCTGTTAGTCTCAAGGACTGTAGTCAGCCAGCTGGAGACCCAGGAATAGCCAGTATTTCTGTTCAAGTCCAAAGGCAACAAAAAGCTCATGTTCCATTCATAGGTCATCAAGAAGGGAGAATTCTTTTTTACTTGGAGAAGGGTCCACATTTGTGTCCAATTCTGGCCTTCAACTGATTGGATGAGGCCCACCCACGTAAGGGAGGGCTATCTGCTTTACCTAGTTTGCAGAGTGAAAGGTTAGTCTCAGGCAAAAACACCCTCACAGAAACCCCCCAGGATAATGTTTGACATCTGGGCACTCTGTGGCCCAGTCGAGTTGACATCTAGTGTTAACCATCGCACGTTCTGAAGAGTCATGGGAAATAGAGCTGGGGTGGGGGTGAGGGAGGTGAAGGGCCACCAGTTATGGGAAGAGGCAGGCTGAGGACTCTGAAGAATTGTCTGTATTACCTATTATACCTGGACTGTGCAGCTTCTAAAGTTGCTTACTGACCTGAGACTTTTGTGATAGTCTCATTAGATCATAAGGATAATGATGGCCCTGGTTCTGTACCTGGAATGATCCTGGATCTCAACAAATGCTTTGGAATGAATACATATAATTGGCTGCCTTTTCTGTGGCACCTACTGTGTGCTGGGTGCTTTATCTACTGCTTCATATAATGTTCCTAATCTTCTCTTTAAAGTAAGTAGTATTATTACTTCTATTTATATAGAAGATGCTAAAACATAAAGAAGTAAAAGCACAGTGAAGATCCCAGAGGTAGTAAGTGCTAGAACTAAGACTCAAAGTAAGACCAAACTCTGCCCAATGGACTGTAACCCAAATTCAGTTCCCCAAACCACATGGTTACCTGTCATGAGATTAAGGATGCATTTGACACCTCTGACTGGAGTTAACCAGTTGTGTTGGTATTTACTTTAAATGTTGCTACTGTTGATGGTCAAATTTATTTATCAGTGTTTCAATAAGAAATACATGGAACTTTCCACATAACCACTTTTTTGAGTGATTAAGAACTATTTCAATGTCTGTCTCCTCCACTAGCCTTGAATGCCTTGAGCATCGGTGCCTATGCATTTTATTTTCATGTTTCCAGTGTCCAGTAGAATTACATGGTCCATAGGGGCTCATAGTTCTTTATAGTTATCAAGGAAATAAATGACTGCATTAGTTTCCATTCCTACTGTGGTATATACAAGTATTTATTTATTCATACTCTCAGCAGGACTGGTGTGGCTGGTTTTTAGGACAGTTGAGGATCTAAAATGAGGAAAATATTAAAGTAAGTTTAAATTTTGATACATAATACTCCATATTGCTGGTCTAAATTGTTTTCTTCTGCTTAGGACAGAGGTCAGTAAACTATGACTCGCAGGTCAAATCTGGCCCACTGCCTGTGTTTTTGCAAATAAAGTTTTATTGAAGCACTCAGATTCTTTAGTTTATGAATAGTCTACAACTGCTTTCATTCCACAAAGGCAGAGGTCAGTAGTTGTGACAGAGCCTTTAAGGCCTGCAAAGCCTGAAATATTTACTACCTGGCCCTTGACAGAAGAAATTGACCAACCTCCAGCCTAGAGGAACCCAAGCAGCACCAACCTTTTGTGCCTGAAATTAATTAAGACATTCCAGCAACTATTAAAAATGACTAAGTCATTATTTCCTTAGGCTTCCTTCACATCTCCAGTTCAAAAGGAAGCAGATGTTTCATTTTTTTCTTTTTGTTTTTTTAACCCAACTCCTTGCCCCCCTTGGCTCTGTTGACTATGCAGAAACAAATGCAGACCTGTAGCCCGGGATACAAAAGCGGGACAAGGATAAAACCAATCAGAGTTCTTTGCTAGGATTGTTTTGGTATTTAATCCTGTTTTCTTAAGAAGTTCATCCTCTATTTATATGCTTGAGAGAGAATGTGCTTTAGAAATATACATGTCTCCATCAAGTATTGTTTATAAGAGAAAAAAAAAAATCTAAGAGACTACCAACAGGAGAAATGGACAAATGAGTTTGGGTGCAATTCATACCATGAAATAATATATAGCAGTAGTTGAAATGAGTGAACTCAATGGAATTCCCTAGTGGTCCAGTGGTTAGGAGTGTGCACTTTGACTGCCATGGGCCTGAGTTCAGTCCCTGGTCAGGGAACTAGGATCCCGCAAGTCATACAGTGTGGCCCCCAAAATTAATTAATTAAATGAATGAACTAGAGGTAATGAGAAAAATCTCAACAGTCTGTTGGGCAAAAAATGTATTCATACAAAGCTCTCACTTTTCGAGATGGCCCACACTCATTGTGTGTGTCTCTCTCGATAAATTTACTTCTTACCTATTAAAAAAATAGTCACAAGAGGATATAGGCAGTGTGATCACATTTATATAAAATATAAGTCTATATGAAAGGAAACCTGCGTATGTGTATACATACACAATAAAATGATAAACTGCACAGATGAGAATGGGAAACCAAAACTTCAGGATGAAGGTTACCTTCTATGACAGGAGAGGAAATTGGGGTTAGGGAGCCTTGCTGCACTCATATTTCTACTGTATTTCCAGTTGGAAGAGGAACACTGACATTTTATCATGTTTTTTTTTTTTAAATTTATATGACTAAATACCTAATGAAATATTGACAAAAAATTAAGTATAGTATCATTCAAACTTCTATTGCCAAACATAATGAAGTGTAGGGATTAGATATTCAGCATTTTTTGGTACCTACTCTATACAGAGGGGATTGATTTTTAAATAAAAACTAGCTTTAGAGGTTAGTCAGTTAAGGTCATGGCTATTGCAGTGTCAACCAACGATGAGCAAAACAGAAAAAAATGATGACTTGTTCTCTGCTGTCCTTCTGCACTCTTTGCCCAGAATGCGTGTGTGGATTGTGAAATCAACTTAGTGGGTTGTTATTACCATTTTCATTTAAATGGAATGGAATGAAATAGAAAACAGTAATCAAGAAAATAGAGTCTGCAGAGTATATGCAGTAGGAATAAGTCTTGTCTTATGAAATGATAGTTGTATATCCTTGTCTAGCGCATGACTGAATTGTGTGCACATGTGTATATGTGTGTGTGTGTGTATGTGTATATGTCCTGAATTGCAGAGTGGAATGCATTTCTATGGATCATGGTCAGGAAGTTTGAAAACTGCCATATTAGTTATCTATTTCTCTGAAACAAATTATCCCCCAGAGTTAGCAGCTTAAAACAGTAAATGTATATTACCTCACAGTTTGTGTGGGTCAGAGATTTAGGAGCATAGTTTGTTTTTCTGTCTGTAGTTCCCTCTGCCATCCCTTTCTTATCCTTTAAGTTTGTCTATTGAAGGACCTCCTGTCTTTCTCTTTGTCCTCAGTTTGAGAAAAGTCACCCCAGACTCCCTGCTGTTCCCCAGATAAGTATATCCTAAATGCTTCCTCCCTCAAGCAAATAAAGAGATGAGTAAAGAGAGTAGATGAGTAAGGAGTAAGGAGAATCTTGCCTCATATCACTGTACCAACCAGAAGCCAGGACGGGATATGTGTCTTTACCATCCCACCCTTAGCCCACCCATAGTGGGACCCTCCCCATGTGGCCTGGAGGGGCCGCTGTGGGCCAGGCTGAGAAGCCATTCCCAGGAACACAGTGGTATCGTAAACACAGCTTCCATAAACACACTTGAAGTTCTGTTTCCTGAGGCACCACTGAGGTCTCCCCACACTGTTATGTCAGTTCAAGATACAGCACTTCAAAGTTCCACTGGAAATTCTAGATCACTGGAGAGTTCGTGTATTGGCTCACAGTCCTGTCAGCCACAGAAAAGAGAGGTACCTCTGCTCCCGTCAAAGTCTGGTTTTGTTGACAGTACACAGAACACCAGGCGATTTCTGATTGGAAAGGCAGCACCATATATAGATGGTGATGGAAGGAAAACAAGTCCGTGGGCCACAGATAATTTCAGTGAGTGTGTTAAGCTAGTGTGTGTTAAGCTAGTGTGTGTGTGTGTGTGTGTGTGTGTGAGAGAGAGAGAGAGAGACCACGGACATAACATGTTGAGTGTGCAGGGGCCGTCCTGGGCACTGGGGATGTGTGTGCAGAGGGCCCGCGGCCAAGCTGGGCATCCAGAGACCTGGATTCCAGCTTGAGCTAAAGCATGTGCTAGTGCTGTGGCCCGGGGGAGCCAATCCACACTTCAGTTCTCTCATTTGACCTAAAGCCACAGTTGCCTGTTGCACAGGGTTATAGTGAGAATTAAGTGAGCTCTGTGTGAACAGACAGCTGGTACAGAAACTAAAACCCTGTACAGATGTAAGATGCTGAGGAAGTAAGCAAGCCCTGCACCTCAGAGTGAGCAAGACCAACATTTTTATTATCAACTGGATGGGTTATTTGTATCTTTGTTCGGCTCTTCCTACATCAGATACTTTTTCTTTTTTTTAACTGAGGTATAGTGAAGGACAGGGAAGCCTGGTGTGCCGCAGTCCATGGGGTCACAAAGAGTTGGACACGACTGAGTGACTGAACGAAAATAGTTGATTTACAGTGTTGGGCAAATCTCTGCTGTACCGTGAGGTGGCTGAGTTACACACAAGGAGACATTCTTTTTTTAATATTCTTTACCGTTCTGGTTTATCACAGAATATTGAATATAGCTCGCTG